AAAAAAAAAAAAAAAAAAAAAAAAAAAAAAAAAAGAATTAAGGGTTCTTTTTAATCCTTTTTTAAAATACATTTTCCTATAGAAATTTTAAAATTATGTTTAAGCTCTTCCTCTTCTTTGTTCCATAACACTTGTGCTTACTTCTGTTGCATCATACATATTGCACTGTAATTGACACACCTCAATAGCATAAATCACATTTTCTTTTATTCCTCTTTCAACGTCTCTACTCCATCATGGGCTCGCAAACAATATTTACTGAGCTAAGAGCAAGCATTCCTCTATATACGCTGCTATATATTAATGACACTGGAGCTCTCTTTGTATATTAGCTATACAGTAAATAGAGTAGGTAACATTTATCGAACATTTACTATGTATAGAGATCATAGGGGTTTTAGTTAACTCATTTATTCTCACAATAAAGCCCTTATCTCTCTTTTACTCATGAGAAACATGGGATTAGGAGGGACGGAAGAACTTGGCTAAGAGCACTCAGCTACTTCATTGAAGACTGGGATTTGAACCCAGATACTTAAATGTCAGAAACCATGCCCTTAACTTTCATGAAAGACTACTTTCACTACAACCTATATATTTATTCTTACTGTTGTTCTTTTTAAGTAGATTCATTTTGCTCATTCTTAGAAGAGAGAGCATCGCTTATTGGAAGACTCACCAGGTTTGGTAATCTGATTGACCTGAGATGTAACCATGATTTAACCACTGATAGATGGCTGGGTGTCCTTGGGCAAACTGCTTAATTCATAGTGAGTCTCAGTTTCATTATCCATAAAATGGGGATGATAGAGGCTGGTATGAGGATTAAAATGGGGTAACAAAGGTGAGGTGTCTTGCATAAAATCTGGCACATAGTAGCTACTCAACTAAGTTGTTGTTACATTAAGAATAGAGGCTGCTAAAACTGACCATCCAGTCTAAAGTCAGATTTCAGTTGTCTTAAATATCTCTTCTCTCTCATCACTAGATATGTTGTTCTTTTCTGTTCAGGGCCACGTTGCTCATTTTTTAAGCCTGACTTCCTTTAGTTTGCATGTCCTTAAATGTCACCTATACACTAACATTTCCCAAATGTCATTTCCATCCTGGACCTTAACCCTAAACTTCCGTCTCTGATATCCAACTCCCTCTTCAGGATCTCTTTTTGATTTTTTTGTTTTAGGGGTTTCTTGCCTTAGGGTGTGTACGCTCACCAGAGAAAGAGAGAGACAGAGACAGTTGAAAGGGAAAGTGAGAAATCACCCCCTAGGGGGGATGGCCACACTGCAATCGCTTCTCCATTCTCCTCCCAGGATCTTGGGTACTCACACATATGTACTGGGTGTGACTTTCATGCCTCCAGATCCAGGACTCAAGCCACAGTCGGCCATGTGGAAAGTTCAGCAATGCAACCACTATGTCACCAGCTGGTTCCCTCTTTTTGAATTTGTAAAAAGCATCTCTAACTCAGTGTGAACTCCCCACAAAGATGATCCTCCTGTAGTTTGTTTGTTTGTTTGTTTGTTTGTTTTGAGAGGTTTTTGCTATAGGGCGCATGCGCTCGTCGGACAGACAGAGAGAGACAGAGAGACAGAAAGCGAGAATCACCCCGCAAGGGGGATGGCTAGGCCGCAGTCCCTTCTCCTCCGTTCTCCTCTCGGGATCCTGGACACGCATGCACACGTGCCTAGTGTGAGTTTAAGCCACCAGGTCTGGGACTCAAACCGTGGTCGACTACATGGGAGTCCAGTGATATAGCCATTATGCTAACTGCTGGTCCCCCTCTTGTAGTTTTCTCCATGACAGAAAGCAATTCTATTCAAACCCTCTGGAGATGTCCTTGAGTCTTTTCTCATTTTAAATCCCACAGTGGATCTTTCAGTGACCCCTGGTTACCTCCATTTCAAAATACATCCAGGATCTGCCCACTGGCCCTCTGCACTGCAGTCAGAGCCACTTGGTCTTTCCCCAGGGTCATCACAGCAGCTTCCCGACTGGTGCCCTTGCTCCTGCTCTTCCACAGTCTAGTCTCAACCAGAAACCAAAGTGATCCTTTAAAAATAAGTCACGTCATGTCATCCTTCCATTGAAAACACTCTAAAGCTTTCTCCACTCAGCCAGGGTGCATGTTTAGGCTCTATAATGGCCTGCAGTGGGTTCTAGGGTTGGGTCCTGCAGCTTCTCTGACCTAATCTCCCACTTCCATTCACTTGTTCTGCTCCTGCCTCGATGGCTCTCTGCTCCTTCTGGGACATGCAAGGCTTATTCCCACCTTAGGGTCTCTGCCATATCCCCATGCCCACATAACTAAGTACTTGGCGTGCAGGAGGCACTCAGCAAAGGCTGTTGAACAGATGGCTTGGATAATCATCGACTTACAGACCCAGCTCACCTGGACTTGTGCTGTCTGTGTGTCCTGAGTCTATCGCTTCTTGTTTGGCCTGAACCCTGCAGCTTTGCTGTGACTTTCCCAGCAGGGACATCCTAACTCTCTACTCTCTGGGGTCTGAGCCCACTTACATTATCAGGAAAAATTAGAATCAGGCAGGTGACTTAGTTCCAAAATAGTTCTGATCTCCAGGGTTCACCAACATTTCCATTCTCGTTCTCCGACCCTCTAAATATTTTCCAGAAAAAAGGACAAACGACTCAGAAGTGGCATTTTCTTTGTGGATACTTCCATGGTATTAACGATGAGTGAGAACACAGTAAATCCATGGACTGCCCGGGATGATTGAGTAATGGTTGTAGATTCACCCTGCCTTGCAATGTGTATAAGGACACACAGAAGGGACCAGCAGTTAGCGAGCGTAATGGCTATGTCGCTGGACTCCCACATAGTCAACTGCAGTTCGTGTCATGGACCTGGTGGCTTAAACTCATGCTGGGCGTGTGTGCGTGCCTGCCCAAGATCCTGAAAGGAGAATGGAAGAGAAGGGATTGCGGCGTGACCATCCTCCCTGGGGGGTGATTTCTCGCTTTCTGTCACTCTGTCTCTGTCTGGAGAGTGCATGTGCCCTATGACAAAAGATGTGCCCTTTGAAAAAAAAATTTTCAAAAAAAAAAAAAAAAAAAAAAGGATACAGGGACCAGCAGTTAGTGTAATGGCTATGTCGCTGGACTCCCACGAGGTTGACTGCGGTTTGCGTCTCAGACTCGGTGGCTTAAAATCTCATGCCGGGCGCATGTGTGTGCATGCCCAGAATCCCAAGAGGAGAATGGAGGAGAAGGGATTGCAGCGTGGCCATCCCCCCTGGGGGGTGATTTCTGCTTTCCATGTACCTGCTGTGCTAAAAAGGCATACTTGACGTGAACTTTTATGGGTAACGTAGTTTCCTTCGGGAATGGCCGTGGTGAACTGTCTCATCTGTGCCTCTGAAAAGCTGCGTTCCTATTATCTCCACTAGCCCAATAGTTGGAGGTGTAAGAGTAGTATGGTCCTTGTGCATTTAGGTACCCTATAAGGAGTTTTGTGTAAAATAGCAAGGTTTATCTACCCTAGAGGAGGGAACACTTTGATCTCCTATGCAGCTCTTCTGAGATTTTCCTAAGTGAGGGGGGTGGGGTGGGGGTCCTGAGTACAATAAGGGACAATGTCTTCTATTTACCACATGCTGGGATGTCACACAGGTCAGACTTAAAGTTTTCATCCAAGGTAAAGCACCAGGGAGCTTCCTTCTGATTCCCTGGGTTGCGGCAGTAGGAATGGCCTCCATTCAGCTCTGGAAATCGCAGGGCGGTGAAGGTGTGCGTGTGGGGGTACTGGGAATTCCACGGCTGGCACTGGCGCCCTGATTTGGTCACGCTGACAGTCCCCCGGTAGTCCACGCCTGTGTTGTTATAGCACTTGTGATCTGAAGAACACAAAAGCTCAAACTTAGAAAGACACAGAAGTGACCCTCCAGCTCCTAGCCAGCAGTTTCTGGAGGGCACGGCATGCAATTAATTTCCTGGCCAAGGCTTCCCTGCTGCTCAGGAGCCATGCAGGGCAGTCTCCCTTCTTGCAGGGCTTGGCCCCAGAGGCTGCCTTGCAGTTACATTCCTGGGAGGATTTAAAGCTTATGCTGTAGGAATAAAACCAGTCTTCTGCAAGTTTTTAAAATATGGAACACAGAAGAAATCAGAACTGGGGCAGGACCTGGGGCACAGGAACAATTTCCTAGTGAATGGTTCAAGGAAGGTTCAAGCCAGACTTCCTCCCATTCTGATTAATGGTGTTAGACATGAATCATGTGATAAGGAGTCTAGTTGGTAATTGACAGAAATGTTTATTGGGGGTAGTGCATGCTGGGTTTAGGGCTATCTCTGTGCCGATAGAGTGGAGACACCCCGAGAAATAGGTCCTGTTGAGCAATCCTCCCAGGTGAGCAGAGGCTGAAATTTCAAAGCCCTGCAGCATGTACTGAGTTGAAATAAACTGGAGTTTGGTGGAGTAATGATGATAGTAACGAAAGTAATTGTAATGATAATTGAGTATGTCCTATGTGTTAAACACAGCTCAAAGCATTTTTAGATGCATCAATTTAAGCAATAAGAGTATTTGCTACCAAGAGAAAATTTAAAAATAAAAATCAGTGGTGAGTTTAATATTAGATAAAAGGGAACTGTACAGAGGAAGAGTCTTTTTGTCTGGTGGGACTGAGAGGTACAGGATAGAGGCAAGTCCCATACACACATATTTTAAATTGAGCTGCAAAACACACACCCTGAAATGTACTATTTGTGCACTTAGTACATTCACGTGTTGTACAACCTTGACCATCACTAGGTTCCAGAGCGCTTATATGACCCTGAAAGAAAACGTATCTATTAAGCAGTCATTTGCCACTATTCCTGGCTCCTGCTCCTGGCAACCCCTAATCTGACTATAGATATCTCTGCTCATAAAAACATAAGTGAGGGGGGGCGGGGTGGGGGTTCTGAGTACATTAAGGGACAATGTCTTCTATTTATCACATGCCGGGATGTCACGCAGGTCAGTTCATAAAAATGGGATCATATACTAGTGTCTGGCTTCTTTCACCCAGTGTAATGTTTTCAAGGCTCATCTAGATTATAGCATGTATTTCATGCCCTTTTATGGAGAAATAATACTTCATTGTATGGATATACCACAGTTGGTTTCTCCACTCACAAATTGACAGGCATTTGGGTTGTTTCCACCCTTTGGCTATTGTGAGTAGTACTTTTATGAACATTTTCACATGAGTTTTTGTTTGAACATTGTTTTCGATTCTTTTGGTTATATAAGGGGACATCAAAAAGTTTATGAAAAAACTGAATTAAAGTACAAGTTTACTTTGGTGTAAATATTTCTGAAATCCACATATAGTATTTATATACATAAGAGGCATTTTTCATGAATTTTTTGAAGGACCCCTCCCCAAATAGTCAAGAGTAGAATTACAGATTATATGGTAATTGTTTAAATGTGTTTATGTTGTTGAGAAAACAGCCTCCATATTTATAAACTGTTGTCTTCACGAAGCTTCTTAAAGATAACTATGTTTAACCCACCACTGACTCCTAAGGCACGGTATTTAGCGCCCTGGAACGTAATCTGACTACCAGTGTGAATAATTCCTGAGTCAAGGTCCCGCTTCTGCCATGCTCTGGGGTTGCTGGCTACTAGAACAGCACAGAAGGTTACCACTTACTTTTATTTATAGGGTCTGCCATGGGAATGCCTATCCGGATACAGTTGGCAGCTTCTGGGCTCTCTGGCTGGGGCAGATCTTCACAGTTTGGCAGTTTCAGCCTCATCAGAATCATGGGATTCGATCTTGCGAAAATGTACTCTGTTTGGCACAGGACGTTTTCCAGGATTTCACATTCATCGCGACACAGGTCACGGGGCTTTGGGGCAGGTGAAGTTTCGTCACAGTATGGGAAGGCGTAGTGACACAGGGAAGGGATGGCGAACTGGGAACACTTATCGGATAAGTGACTGGAGGTGCCGATCATGGTGAAGGCCGCTGGAAAACAAACACAACAGTTAGCTCCTGGAGGCCAGGGTTCTGCGGCTTCTGCTTATCTAGTTAACAGACGTCAGGCCTAAACATCGTGGGAGGAGGCCGTGCCCAGACAAGACCAGGAGAGAGGGATTCATCTCAGATGTCTAGGCCGCTTACTTTCACAGGCTTGAAAAAAACCATTTTGATGACCAAGTTAAAAAAAAAAAAGATTAAATGACATACGTACCATTTCCTAATAAAAAGAATTAATTAGATTAAAGTACAATGTACTTTTCATTTTTTTTTACTACAAAGCAACAGAACTTTGTGTTTCATCCGGTACTTTTTATTAGTTTTGTGAGGTTTTCTAAAACATTTCACAGCTGCAGGGCAGAATGCTGTATTTGGCGGCTGCGCCTGACACAGGGTTTAGTTCTGTCTTGCAGGACGGCAGGAATTGCTCCATGATTTTTGGATAACTTGCTTGGTGTTTCTGCGGCTTCAATATTTTCCTCTCTCTCTATTTTTTTCCCCCTTGATATCTGATCTTATTTATGTGTTGTTCTTATAAATTTTTTTTATTTTTGACTGGGTTTAAACTTAGAAATAGAAGCTCTCAGAGAGGATAGCGTACATCTCTTGGCAATCTGTTCTTGGCATTTCTCTTCAGCCTCCTTCATTCTCTTGGCCAAAAGTTTAGCATATTCTGTTGCCTCTTCCTTATTTTTTTTTTTTAGTGCTCTGTTTCTTGAAAGCATCACGCTGGTGTCTGTGTTGCAGGACACGTGGTGTCACAATGCCCTGAGTCTTGGTTGGTTTGGTCCAAGGTTTCTTACCTTCTTTATTTAAGGACTTTCTTACACATATTGGCAGACATTGTCTTTTTTAGAGAGATTGAAAAGTTTTCAGATTCTGCTAGCTCTCCTGGGCCCCGGATGATGGGACATTATAGTAATAGTCCTGGAATAATCCATTTTTGCAATAATCAAGTTACTAACGCTCAGATTGACATCCACAATGCAACCCCCAGCAGACTTACACATTCTGTCTCCAGTTCTCCTTGGTCTATAACAGGAATGTCCCTTACACGGTAGCAGGCAGACACAGCCCTGGGTCAAGACACCCTGCTTTATGGGGAAACTTTGCTCGTCATTTCCACCACTGTTTTGGACTACATCACCCTTTCATTTTTCACCTACAGTGTCAGCAGCAACTTCCGTGGCTGTATGATTCTCATAAAAAGAATGAAGTTTGCATCCACCATCCACTTCAAAGGAGTCTCTAAGAGCTGGTGGCTGGGAAGGAGATGGTCACCTTCATCTAGAAGCAGCTAACTCCTATGACACATCACGAAAAGAGTATAGCTTCCATATTTTCTTCTCACTTGCAAGTTCTCAAAGAGCACAATTCCATCCTTCCAGTGTGTATCCCAGGATATTAGTGTCCCTTAGCTACAAGCCTCTTACGCAGTAGGGTATCATACAAAAAGAGCAGCCCACCTACCTCTGTTGACCAGGGGTGAATACCTCACAAAGCAGCCTATAAAGTTGCTGATCTACTATTTCCCAAACTATGTTCCTCAGAACATTAATCCTATAGAATACTAATCGTATTTGAGAAACTACAACTACATGACCAGAGAAGTTTGGGAAATTCTGAGTTTAAAAAAGTTAGAGATTATTTTTAAATTATAATATGCTCTAGTAAGCCAATACCAATTGAAAATCTCAAAGAGAGGATTATTATAAATGGACACCTAAATATTTATAGCAGGACTCCCATTTATTTTTAGTACTTAGTGACAAGTTTAAATGTTCTTCTTCTTTTTTTAAAATTAATTCATTTGCCAGAACACACATGTATTTGCAGTACAGACAGAGAGAGGCGGGGAAAGTAAGAAAGCACCCCTTCCCCTTGGAGCACAGTCACGCAGCACACTCCCTTCTCCAATTCGCCCTCCATTCCGGATTCTGGGCACACGTGCACACGTGCCTGGCGTGTTTGTCCAGCCGCTGGGTCTGGGACCTGAGCTGAAGGGTTGGCCATGTGGGCTCCAGCTGCCTTAAATATCATGCCACCAGCTGGCCCCAGAGGTTCTTATATTAGCTTGAAATAAACGTTCAACAGCTCCTCTCAATCAGTCCTACTTCCGCTCTCCATAATTTCAGAGTCCTCTTCCTCTTGAGAGCCCAAGGGCTTCAGGAAATGGCAACTGCGTCTTCTTCAGTGGTTTCTCTTGGTCACATAGCTTCCCCCATCCCCTCTAACCGCCTATCAATGCCTTCAAATTCTCACAGGACGCAGTCTCTGGGTCTTTTACCGTACTACATTCCTGCCTTGGATTTGTTCTTGCCTCTCTCTCTCAAATCCTAGGGTGGTCAGATAAACTACAACAGCTACATTTGAATTTCAGATAGACATATGGGACATACAAAAAAAATTTTTTTTTCCTTGAAATTCAAGTGTAACTGGGTAGCCAGTATTTTTATTTGCTAAACTTGGCAACCTTATTAGAATCTCGCGACAGCGATTTTAAGGGATTACACAGGTACCCGGCACAGAGACATGACGACGATACTAACGGAAGGGGCCTAAGGGAGCCGTAACCACCAGAAGCAGGTGCATAAAATCATACCAGGTGCCCTTTGCTACCTTAACTCACATGTGCTAAAATACTTCACTATTAGACCCCCATCAAAAAGGAATGAAGAAAAATAAAGGATACAATACAGAAAGCTAGAGCAGGAAAAGGGTTATGGTCATCTCGCCTCTCCACTCATTTCACAGATAAAGAAAGATTTCATGAAGAGTTAACAATTCCCCCCAAGTCACTGGAATGATATTCTAGGATTAGTGTTACAAATTCTTCTTCTTTTCTTTTTTTTTCCTTTCAGAAGTTTTTACCATAGGGTGCCCATGCTCACTACGGGGGAGTGGAGGAGAGATACACAGTGAGAGGGAATATGAGAAATAACCCCCAGTGGGGATGGCCATGCAATAATCCCTTCTCCTCCATTCTCCTCCCAGGATCTTGGGCACGCATGCACTTGCGCCCAGTGTAAGTTTCAAGCGACCAGGTCTGGAACTCGAACCGCGGTTGGCCATGTGGGAGTCCAGCGCTGTATCCACCGTGCCATCTGCTGGCCCCAGTGTTTCAAATTCTAAACCCTCAATCTGTCTCTTTCAGTGTACATCATGCCTCTTTCAGATAGAAAGCTCCATGAAGACAGGGACATTCCTGGCTTATTTATATACCACCACACTGCAGTTCCCACACCAGTTCCTAGTATGCCGAAAGCCCTCGCTGATATTTACTGAATGTTAGAATGAATGTGAGACTTCTCAAAGCTTCCTTTCCCTCTGAGAGCAACCTTCAATAAATTATCTTTTTTTTTTTTTTTGGAGAGGTTTTTGCTATAGGGCGCGTGTGCTCGCCAGATAGAGAGAGACAGAAAGCGAGAAATCACCCCCCAGGGGGGATGGACACACCACAATCCCTTCTCCTCCATTCTCCTCTTGGGGTCTTGGGCACGCACGCACACGTGCCCGGTGTGAGTTTAAGCCACTGGGTCGGGGACGTGAACCGCGGTCGACTACGTGGGAGTCCAGCGACATAGCCATTATGCTAACTGCTGGTCCCAATAAATTATCTTAACGTAAATCCCAGTGCGCAGATATCATGCCTCCTGCTCCTTTATGGTCCTGTTTCCAACCCCCACGCTAATCTAATCTTTTATTAAATGAGAAGCTTGGTAAAACTTTTGGTGAGAAAAGTAGTTATTCAAGAGATAAGTGGTGTCACCTACCTGTGATCTGATTTTCTATTTCCCCTTGCATGTGCAAAGACTCCATATAGACGGTGCGGTTGCCAATAAACCTCGCACATGCAATCCCTCTGTATGGCTGACAGAATCCGTCTTCTTCGTACTCATCTCTAAAAACAAGCAGAGATGTTAGCAGCGGCACCACACAGTTGGCTCTGACTGCGTGTACAGAAATAGCCACCAGGGGGCGCAGTTGGGCACAGTATCTGAAAGCCTGGACTTAGGACTCAGACTTGCTTCGTCCGTAAAACATCTGCTGGTCACGTTGGTCAAATTTCCTACACCCCCAGAAAAATCATCCTGAAGCACAAAATCATCCTTAAATATGGGAGAAAACGCTTTTATTTTCGCAGCTGGTGGTGGGCTGGAAAGTGATGTAGTTCTAAGAGCAAAGAGGAAATGAGTTGGAAATCTGGGCACATGTTCTACAGTTTTCTGTTTTTTAAGCACAGATTATTTCTGCTTCATTTGCTACGAAGGCGTGGACACATGAGCCACAAGAGTCACTCCAACTGACATGACGATTAGGGGGACGGCGAGGTAAGAAGCTGGGTGCAGCGGGCAAGGGGCCAGAGGGCAGGCTAGTTGTGGGTCTCCTCCATGTTTAGGACCTGTGACCACTCCCCTGTGGAGAGACACAGGGATCCATGGTCTGAAGATTTTTGAAATGAGTTGCTAAATGTAAGGAAATCAAGAGAAAGTGTTCATGGAAATCTTGTTTGTGTGCTCCTCTAAGATGATGTCCAAGTAATCGGGGGCAGTAGGTGGTGCCGCAGTAAACACAAGGCTTTGTGAGGGGGACCCACATGGGAAGGTCCCTGGCTCCCATCAGGAGACTTCCCAGATGTGCCCATGATCCGGGTTGGTTGAAGCTGGCTCGTAATTTCAAGATCCCATGAGGGGTGCTGTGTCTCTGTCTGTCTGTCTGTCTCTCTCTCATGGAATAAACTTAAAATATTTTATACAGTCTTGTTACAATCTTGTGCCTTAAAATAATGATGATGACAAAAGTCAAAGGCGGACGTAGGTTTTATCCTAAAGACAGGGATACCAAATACCAGAAAGTGACAGGATTAGTGTGGATAGGCAAGTGATGGGATGAAAGATCTAAGGTTGGAGATTAGAACCCAAGGTGGCAGGTTCAACTCGAACAGACAGAGGTCATAACCTCCCACAAGGGCCTAGGATAAGCACCGGACACCAGGGTACAGGGCGTTCAGCTGCTTCTCTGTGCAGGCCACAGCCATACCAAAGGCTGCCTACTGCATCTATAGGCTGACCCCTACCCTGGATCTTCCTCCTCCGCTATCCTGGCTGCAATCAATACGTCATCTCAGGAGAATACCACTTTTCTTCTTCAGTTTCTTGAAAGTTAAAACATCTTGGAGCAAAAGTCAGGAGGACAAGATTCTCTTCTGGGTTTAACATTTGCACATCCTGAGGCAAGCTGGCTGGGTCCTCTGGGGCAAGGTAATACTTCCCCTCTCTACCCTAGTAGGAAATACTATGACCATCCCATTGAACAGAGGAAAAGTCTTACATTTTATTTTTGTTGATGCCAGAGGGTGCATCTGCATGCATGAGCCAAAGAAAGAAAGCACTTCTCAAGGGTGCCCGATCATGCTGCAATCCCTTTTCCTCCAGTTCCTCAAACTGCCCTGCCCACATTCCCATGCGCTAAGCTTATAAGCTGCTGGGGCTGGGTCTTAAACACTGGTCAGACATGTGGGAGCTGGCTTCCACTGCACAGCGCTTAACTGTTGCACCATGGGGCCAGTCCAGAAAAGCTTTGGGAGACTGGTTCTTCCATGTGCGAGAGAGAGAGAGAGAGATACAGCACCTCCAAAAGAGTCTCCACCTCCCAAGCCTCAGCCAGCCCCAAACATGGGCACCTCATGCCCAGCACATTTCATGGAAGTCTCTGGACAACCCCAAGTCTTCTCACATGGTCAGCCTTACAGAGTGCACGATTTACCACTGTGCCAGCCCCTGACTCCCACAACAGTGTTTTGAAATGACAGAGAGAACACATGATTATTCTTAAAGTATTTACGAATGACCAAAGAAGTCATTTATTTGAAAGACGGCTATTTCCTAAGCTCCTGCATTGGTCGTGGTGCTAGATATCCCCCTGGATGGTCCGGTGTAAGGGCCTGGAAAGCCCAGGATAGCAGCAAGCCAAGAGAACAACCTAAGAGGACATTCGTTTTCTGCTGCCTTCTCCTCTATCGAGTCACTGAAACAGTCATTCTGAAGGTGGAGATGGGAGAAGTATCTTTGGTTTCGTCCAGAAAAGAGTGTGTGTAAAAAATGTAACCTTCAAGTGCACGCACATGGGAATAGATCATATACCTGACATAAAGACATTGAAATTTTAATGTTGCACAATCCTGCAAGCACTCCGCATGTTTACTTTCATAAATCCTAGAGTAAGGCTGAAGCCTTTTTGGCTTAAATTTTACTTGGGTTGTAAAATTAACCCAACTTTTATTGGGTAACTAATACCATAAACCTATGGGGAGAAAGAAGGGTCTCGATGACCTAGCCTTGGATCTTGAAAACCTAAGTACAGAGACCAGAGTACACCCCTCACACCACCCCCCTGCTATGACAGATGAAGCTTTTCTATCCCTAGGTATTAGCAGAGCCCTGGATTTTTAAGGTGTCATTATGAGAAAACTTCTTCCTCCCCCCGCATTAAACTCTGAAGGCCTCAATTTATATCTCTTGGGAGGACAAAACCCTGGAATTACCCCCAGATATAAATCCCCAGCCTACTGGGAGTTCCCATATTTTATGTGTGAGGCTTAGGCTAAACTTCTTACCACCTTTCCAGTTCAAGACTCTTAAAAAGACTCTTTGAATACTTTCTTTTTTCCCCAGAATAAAGTGGAATGTAGTTTCTTGGCCGCACGTTTCTTATCAAGGGCTTAGAGTTGCAGGTGTACTGAGTTTTTTGACTGTGCCCAGAATTCCTGCTCTTTGGGCCAGTCTCTTGGGGCTAGGTGTGTGAGGGGGATCAGTAAAAACCCAGAATGTAACGTCATCTTCTGGGAGTAGTTTTTAACTGGGGCTGCTTTTAAGAATCTCCTCAAAAATGTTTTGAAAATACTCATGTCCAGGCCCTACCTTGGCTCTATGAAGTCATTCCCTGGGGTTGAGATGTTGGTATTATTCATGCTTAAACCCCCCTCTCAGGTGATTTGAATGTGGCTGAGAACTGGAGTACTAAAAACCAAACATGCATTAAGTATCCACTGCTCTTTGCTAGGTCTTTCTTCAAAGCAGCCCTGGATGAGGCATTATCCTTATTTTACAGAGGGAGGAATTTGAGTTTGGAGAAGTTAAGTAACTTGCTTAAATTCACAAAGCCAGTAAGTGGTGAAGCTAGGATTTAAACTGAAGATGCAAGCATAGGTCACTATGCCATGTTACTAGATCCGTGATTATGTTCTGCTTTTCAATACTGCCCTTAATTAAATCAGTTTTATCATAATAAGATATCTTATAATGTCTTTACTCATACCAGGCACGGTTGAGTTTCATATAATTATAAAGTAGATATTAAGTCATTTACTCCTAAAAACAATCTTATAAAGAAGGTGAAGGTGTTCTTTTCTTTTTCTTTTTTTCTTTTCCCATAGGGCTCATGTACTTGCTGGAGAGAGACACAGTGAGAGGAAACCCCCCCTACCCCCCCAGCAGAGACGGTCATGCCACAGTCCCTTCTCCATTCTCCTCTTGGGATTTTGGGCACGCACACTCACGCACGCGCGCGCGCGCACACACACACACACACACACACACACACACACACATATGCCCTGCATGATTTTCAAGCTGTCAGATCTGGGACTCGAACTGTGGTTGGCTATGTGGGAGTCCAGTGCCTTAAATACTATACCATCTGCTAGTCCTGGTGAAGGTGTTGTTATTTCCATTTTGCAGATGAGAAAACTGAGAGCCAGAAAGTGTAAAGAACTTGTCCAAAGTTATAAAGCAAATAGAAGAGCTAGATGTGCCCCAAAGCAGTACTGATAACCACACTATACAGCTTTCTTCCAAGTGGCTGTGGAAGATCTTGCATTGTTTACAGGGGCTTACCCGAAAGTTTCACCTGATAAAGTTTTGGTGTATGCCGGATGGCAAAAAGGTTTTCTTTTAAACATAAAGTCACAATTACCTTTCATTCCTCTCCATTTTCCCTACTGGCTTTGGCTAGCGGGGGGCGAATGCTCCCTCAGCATTAATCAGCTTTATGCCTTTTTCCAGCCTCCACTTCGCTCATCATTGACGTCTTCCTGCCTCACTCCATGCTTGGTAAATTAAAAGCATGAAGTGGCAAAGCCGCATGAGTCCAAGGGGCTCAGGACGAGAGTGCCTGAGGCAGTGTGCAATGAGAAGAAAAGTGCATTGTGAGAGGGTGGACGGAACCTGGCCATTCATCACAGCGCTGGCACTGGCATGGCCAGCTACCTCCCCGTGATGTCAAAGTGCAGGGCTGCTCGGCGACGGGAGCTCCTGTTTCTCATAAAGTAATTTAGTTTCTATGTTGCCAGCCTCTACCGCCTTCCAGATTCGCTGTCAGGAGACTGGGAAAGCCAACTCATTTTGCTTTCCTCCGCCAGGGTCTCCCCCTTCCCAGGTCAAGGAGCTTGGTGAGGAAGATGCGAAGGCAGTGCCGGCAGTGTCCATCCAGGAACCACGGTAGAGCAGAGAGAGGAAATTCCCACGGAGACTTCATGATCTAGGTCTGCCCATTTTCCCAGTCCCCTTTCCTGACGGACCAGCCTACAAACCTGACAGCATGAGCTGTACTGATGGTCTTGCTAGTCTCGAAACAGGGAATGCACCTTGATGCGGCCATGGCCTGGCCCGTGCTATTCCTCATGCCTCAAATGCCCTGTACCATTTCCATCTTGTGAACGTGTTCTCATTTTTAAGATCTAGATGTTTCTAACTCCTCCAGGAAAGTGATTCAACCCCCACTGCCATCATCTTGGGCTAACTGTTCCCATGTATTTCTGATTTCATATTACACTCATCTGTTTAGTGTCCACTTTGCCACTGACTGACCAGTAGAACTGTGATAGACACGAAGACTGACCTG